GATAGATAGATAGATAGATAGATAGATAGATAGATAGATAGATAGATAGATAGACAGACAGACAGATAGATAGGTGATAGATAGATAGAAAGAAAAAAAGAAAGAATAATTATTTTATATAGATAGATATGAGAGATAAATATGAGATAGATATGAGATAAATATGAGATAGATAGAGAGAGAGAGAGAGAGATGAGATGGATGGATAGAAATAGATAGAAACATAGATGATAGATAGAAAGAAAGAAAGAGGGAAGGAAAGAAAGAAAAAAAGAAAGAATAACTTTATTTTCACTTTGAAATGAACGTACACTAATCAGGATAGATTAAAATAAAATGTTAGGCTAGAATTTTCCCAACCATGGCAACTTGAAGATGGGTGGACTTCCCTTCCCAAGGCTGGCTGGGGAATTCTGAGAATGGAAGTCCACCCATCTTCCAGCAGCGAAGACTGAGAAAAGCGGCTGTCGGCACTGCAGAAGATTAAAACAGCCACCCTATCCCAATGCCGCTCATCACCCTCCGAGATGTAATCATCTCCTTTTTTATTAAAAGCTGCTCTAACCACACGCCTCTCGCTAACCCTTTGACGCAGTTAGGCCTGCGGGGAAGAGCACGAAGACGCCATGTAAATATTCGGCACAAAGCGGGCTGTTCTTTTCCTTCTCGTCCTCCCTAGTTTCTCCTCTATCGTGGCAACGAAACCACTCTGGTGTCGGTCGTTTTTCACATGATGCTCCACGTTTACACAGTGAGTAGTTGCTTGGCGGCCCTTAGAATCGAAGCCACCCGCCGGGGTTCCCCTTTCGCAATTGACCGGTGGGGAGTTTGTCAGTGCCGACGGTGCTCAAGGGATGCTCCAGATGTTTCGGGATGGTACCCAAGCTGCCTATCGCTATCAGTACAGGCAGTCCTCAAGTTATGACCCCAAGGGAGCCCCGAAATTCTCTTGGTCAGCGAGACAGTAGTTCAGTGAGTTTTGCCCTATTTTATTACTTTTCTTGCTAGCCGTTGTTACGGGAATTCCTGCAGTTGATAAGTTAGTTACACGGTTGTTAAGCGACCGGCCACTCTCAATTCCTGCGACCGTTCTTCGTATGGTTTAGTCCCCAGACCTTTAATCCTCCTACCCTGTTTCCCTAAAAATACGACCTACTTGATTTTTACACATGCTGCCAATATAAGCCCTACCCCCAAAATAAGCCCTAATTAAGATCCCCCACACACTCCAGAATGGATGGGTAAAAATTAAGCTAGGGTGGGGATGGGGGGTGGGTGGAGCTGCCCTACTCCTTACCTTTGGGCAGGTGTAACCAGGCCTCACACATCCCGACACCTGCCTTGCCGGCCCATTTCTTCTGCAGCCGGCAAGGCAGGCCAGGCTTTCCTGAAGGCCTCTGGAGCTGAGAACAAAGCTCTGGATCGATCCTGAGGTCTCTTATCAGCCGCAGAGGCCTTCAGGGAAGCCTTGCTGGACACAGAAGAAGTTCCGGAAGGCCTCGGACAGTGAAAAGGAGGCCGGGGCAACGCGTGCAAGTGAGGTTAGTCAGTGGAGGACATCCCCCGAAAATAAGACCTAGTGTCTTTTTTGGAGGAGATATATATATATTGCCAGGGTCAATATGCCTGTCATATAGACCCTGGCAATATATATATATTGCCTGTCATATATATATATGACAGGGTCTTATTTTTGGGAAAACACAGGTAGTTGCTCTTCTTCCAAAGTGTCAATATTTTTTTTTTATAATTTGTGGTGACCAAATCTGGATGCAGCATGACAGGTGTGGCCTTACTAAAGCTTTATAATGCGGGTTCCCCCACCCCTCACCCCCCCAGTTATCTCTTTTCCTATCCTCAGATCTTCCTCCCGCTGGGCCTCCATGTTTATCTGGTCGGTATGGAGATCTGGATGGACAAAAATTACATCACCATCCATCCTTACGACCTGTCTGTGAACTTGAACGTGTTTTATAAGTACGTCCGGTACAGTCTTCGGCACCGCGAGCATTTTGACCACGCGGGTTTAATGACGTAAGCATCCCCTCTCTCCCCTTGGGGGGTGGGGGAATGACCAGGTGGGCTTGAATGAGCGTTACCTGGTGGGGAGGAGGGGATTTGGGGATTAGCAATGTGTCAGCTCGTCAAACATTCCTCTGCCTGTTTTCAAGTTGCCATAAACAATGTGATGAGGAAATCCGAAGGAGCAGTAATGGCAGTTTAAAACCAGAAGTACATTCCACGCTTATCTTACAAAGGTTGTAGCCTAGGCTACTGGATCTTCTGCCTGGGAAAATCCTTCGTTGGAGAGTGTGATTGATGACATCCAGCCCATGAACACGTGTCATGTCCCTGTTCGAGTTTGACTCCGAGGGAGAGGAGGAACAGCCAACAGGGATGGGAGTGTGGCTCTGGAGGTTGTGGAGGAGGCTGGGGAAGGGCACAGTCCGGCTGGGCATTCAGAGGAGGACCCAGGCCCATCCCCTCTTCATCCTAGGGCATGCAGGGAGGAGCGGATAAGGGAGAAACGTGAATGGTGTGGTCTATGGGAGAGGAAAGGGCCCTGATCCCCTTCATGGGCTGCAGCTGGGAGGACTGTTTAAAAAGACAAACTGCACATGTCCCAGTGCTGGAAGCAAAGCATGAAATAATTTACAGTTTTTATCTGAGTTCTAGAGTCCTTCCCAGTGTGTGTATTTCGATATCTGTGTACGTCTTCAAGCCCTTATCCTGCCTTGTCTCCTTAATTGCTTCAGTGTGGTTTGCATTGTTTTTTTTCTATTTATAATTTATATGTATTTTGAGTTCGGACGGCATTTCCTCCTTTTCGTGACTGTGGGGGAGTTTTTTCTCTCCAGTCAATGATAACTGGAGCTTTGAAGCCAAGTTGAAGGAATTAAAGGGACTTCACCTGTTTTTGTGACTTCGTTGCTTTTGTATCCCACCTTGGGTCATCACAACGTGCTTCATTGGAGAATCTGATTTATGACACACCCAGAGGAGAAGCAGAGTCACGGGGGACTGTAAATGACATATTCCAGAGTTGGCTTCATTTAGGATAAAAGCCGTCGCGTTGCTCCTAATAAATCATTTGAATTCTTTTGAAAGCTTGGGCTGAGGGTCATGATTTAATTTGCCAGAACCCTAACGCAATGGCCACACGTATTTATTTTATTACGTTTGTTTTATATTATTTTATTTTATTGTTATTACTATGCCGCCATCGCAAGCGATGACAGCGACAGGCGGGTTCCATTAAGGTCGTAACTCTAGGACTAAGTGTACAATGCAACTGCAACAAATGGGAATTTGTTGCAACGGGCATAGCCCAACATTTCTTCACACCTGTCCAGGACTCTGTCTGTCCTTCCCCCCACAGGTTAGAAATATCTTACGGTTTGGGAAAGTGTGTATGTTTAAGAAGAGCAACAAAGAAAGAAACAAACCTAGAATCGATAGCAAAAAAAAGTAAAAGAATGTCCAGCCAATTCCTGACTTTAAAAAAAAACCAAAATCTCAGCTCGTGCTCCGAGACCCATTCTTCATTTTGTATAGAAATAGACCAATATTCATAAAATTGATGTAAGAAGATAAAGAGTAGAGGGGAAAAAACCCAGTCATGTATGGGAAGGTGGCACCACAGATAGATTTTCTGATACCTACCACTGTGTTGTCCCATGTGTGTACACACACACAGAGACACCTATGGTTTAGTGCAGAGTTCTCCCGCTTTGGCTACTTTAAGTCTGACGGGCTTCAACTCCCGCTTTTTTGGCTGCTGGCTCATGTCATGCACTATTAATCTGACTGTTGTTATTGGATCAGGTGCAGCAGGCAGTTCCTCCTCCTCATCGGGCTTTCCCCAACCTGAAGCCTCAGCGTTGTCCTGCTGCAGCTGGGCTTCTGTTGTGGCCCGCCAGCAGCTGACGGAGCTGGAAGCAGAGTCAGACAGTAGTGAGGAGGTTGAGGAAGAACCTGGGCCAGCCCTGGAGGCTGAGGAAGCCTCGGACGAGGGCTCTGCATCGGAGGCAGAGATGGAGCCAGAGCAGGCTGGCACTCATCAGCTGCCTTCAGTTGGACAGCAGTGCGGCAGAGGAGTAGCTGGAGCCAGTTCCTAGCCTGCACATGTGCAGAGCTGCCAAAGGAAAAGAGCAATTTTACTAACTAAGGGTCGACGTGGGAGTAAAGCCACAGGGAGACTGTGAATGGCCCCTCCAATAAGGATTAAAAGAGGGGCAAAAGGGGAGGGGCCTATTGCAGGAAACCATGCATTCATTTGTTCGTTCCGTCATTGTGAAGATCTCTCTGTGCATCCTAGAGACTCTGTGCTAAGGCCTTCCTTGTCAGCACTGTGTGTAGAAATATTTACCGGGCAGCTTTCCAACATCGATAAGGTCTGAGGCTGAGCTAATAATTATACCTTTGCAAGACTGTTTGCCAGGCCATTAATGGGCTGAATGCGAATGCTGTCAGGGCTCCGAGAAAACCACCCCCATTCAAATCACAAGTCTCTAGCCACATCTCTCAGAGTAAAAAAAAAATGATTTATTAGGAATGAGCATGTCGGCGTCACCTGGGTGCAGCTGACGCTAAGACACATCATTCATTTCCCCCTTGACCCTGGTCTTCCCTCAACCCCCTGGATGTATATTCTCCAATGGGATACATCCCTAGCCAAGAGTCATCCATCATCTCTCCAGTAATAATCTTGCGCACCAACAGCTTCGGCTGCCTAGCCATTATCTGAAGCATTTAAGGAATGCACTGCTTTTCCCTACTCCTTTTCCGCTGGCAACTAAAAAGATGAAAGAAGTATTTTTTTTTAGTTGACAAATGACAAAAATTCTCATTCATTTAAGAAAAGAGGTTTTGCCGGGACGCAGAGTTGGCTTAGTGCTTTTTGGGGGGGAAGCCGAAAACAGAACAGCTTCAGGCGAATCCCTCTCAGCCAGATGCTCGGAGCCATTGATCGACTCCTTTCCAGATGTGCCCGGAACTGGTTCATCTTCTTGGAGAGATAACTGGGGAAACATTCGGGGGGGGGAGTCACCGCGACCGCCGACTTCTTTCTTCATATTTTCCCTGGGCGAAAAAAAAAATAACCTGCTTTCTGTGATGTTTTAGGGCGACTGGGAATCTTCCTGGACTTTCGTGGGGAGAACGATTTTGTCACCCCTCTCACGTCTCCGTGAGCGTCATCCAGGTGAGGGTTCCTCCATCTCCGATACCTTTTGCACCTATTTGTACCTGAGTCCATTAATGCGGGTGCCAGAGCAGTTCAAATGAACCCAGGGTTGTGTGAATTTAACAACAGTGTTCCAGTGTTTGAGGGGCTGCTCCAAAGAAGAGAGAGAGGGGTCAAGCTATTCTCCAAAGCCCCTGAAGAGGCAGGAGAAGAAGCAATGGGTGGAAACTCACCGAGGAGAGAAGCAAACCGGGAACTAAGGAGAAACTTCCTAACAGGGAGGACAATTAACCAGTGGAACTACTTGCCACCAGAAGTTGTGGATGCTCCAACACTGGGGGGTTTTTTTAAGAAGAGACTGGACAGCCCCTTGTCTGGAATGGTATATTATTATGCCTTCTGGTGCTTTGGAACATAAGGTGACCCCCTCCTCTTTGTGTCAACTTCTCAAATACTGGAACCCAGATAGTCCTCGACTTACAACAGTTCTGTCAGTGTAGCAAGAAACTTCCTCTCCAACCAATAACTCCGAGACAGGCATCTTCTCAAAAGTTTTTTTTTTTATTTTGGATTGCAAATTTGGCCCATTTGGGGAATCCCGAAACTGAAAGTCCAGGGCTTCCTTGCAATAAGTAAAAATGACAAATCCACCCCCCTGCACCCCATCATCACATCACATGCCCCAATCGCCATCTGTCCCAACTTCAGACTTTCCCTCACCCGGGTGCAGAGATAATATGACCTTGACTTAGAAGAAGAATGCTATTATGTCTAACCACGTAGGCTCCAAGACATTCCCCCCTCCCACTTACCCAGGCTCAAGAATATGGCAGGGTGAAAGCGCCTGGTATCAATATGGCTTCCAAAGCTGACACCTACCTTCCTTCTTTCCTTCCTTCCTTCCCTCCTTCCTTCTCTCCCTCCCTCTCCTTCCTTCCCTCCTTCCTTCCTTCCTTCCCTACCTACCTTCCTTCCCTCCTTCCTTCTCTCTTCTTCCTTCCTTCCTTCCTTCCTTCCTTCTCTCCCTCCCTCTCCTTCCTTCCTTCCTTCCTTCCTTCCTTCCTTCCTTCCCTCCTTCCCTCTCCTTCCTTCCTTCCTTCCTTCCTTCCTTCCTTCCTTCCTTCCTTCCTTCTTTCCTTCTGTCAGCATTCCAGAAAACCTCCACTTCAACTTGGTCGTAATTTGAGGACTACCTGTCCTTCTTTTCTCTAAACCCAAATCCTGCAACCCTTCTTCTTATATGTTGTCTCCAGGCCTTTAAATTAAACTATACAGGCAGTCCTCGACTTACAATCGTTTATTGAGCGACCAAAGTTACAACGGAAACTGAAAAAAAAGGACTTTTTCACACTTACGACCGTTGCAGCCTCCCCAGTGATCCAAATTCAGGCGCTTGGCCACTGAGTTTCATATATACGACGGTCGCAACATCCCAGGGTCACGCTATTCCCCTTTGGCGACCCTTTTGACGGGCAGCGTCAAGGGGGGGGAAGCCAGATTTGCTTAGCGACTGTGTGACCCGCTTAGCAACCGCCGCGATTCCCTGAACCGCCGCGGCATGAAAAGTCGTAAAATGGGGCAAAACTCACGGTCCCACTGAGCGACAGGAATGTGGGGCTCCATTGGGGTCGTAAGTCGAGGCCTGCCTGTATTTACCGACGCCTTCGCCTCCCCAAACTCTTGTCTCGCGGCGTATAGGTACGTAAAAACCCTCGACTCGATGCCGAAACCCTCGCCCACCAGCTGGGTCATTCCCTGGGCTTCACGCACGACGACGCAGCCGCGAACTTAGCCAGAAAATGCGACTGCAACTGCACCGTGTTTGGCAGCTGTTTGATGCTGACTTCGGGCCCGGCGTAAGTTTGTCCCCCCGGCGTCTCATACTTCTTAGACGTTGTTGGGGTTATTTTTTTTTCACCTTTCTTTCTTGGGCTTCCGTGGGTTTCCCCAGTCCGCGTTGGGATTCAATTCTGTTTTGTTTTTTTTACTAGCGGTTCTGTGGGCGTGGCTTGGTGGGCGTGGCTTGGTGGGCATGGCAGGAAAATGGTGGACACTGCAAAATCCCTGTCACGACTCCAAAAAAAAGAACGGACCGGAAATGAGACAGCCGGGATGTCAGTCTGGGCTCCATTCAAAATCCAAGAAAGAAATACTCAGACTCCAATGACGAGAGCGAATTTTTTTCTTGTACTGAAATTCAAAGTGAATTCTGAATCTGAGAAATTAGGCGCGCAGATCATCATATACAAAGGGATGGAATTGTTCCCACACACCGCCCAAAGTCCAAAAGACTCTTCCAATTAAAAGTTCTGAATAGGATCGTGTGCAGGCATCTTCAGGTGGTGATGAGGCCTCCGTCCGTTGACCTTGACATATTTTGATAAAACTTCGCAGCTGCCCAAAGGAAAGAAAGCCAAGCGAGGAAATAGAAAGTTAAGAGCAGGAATTTATACTCTCCCGCCCACGTCCCGACTCCTCATTTATACAAAACCAGAATGTGACACCTCTGGTTATCTTCCCAGGAGATGCAACCCTTCCTCCCCCTCTTACTCAAAGTTGCAAAGCAGTAGAAAGCCATAGAAAAGTAGAAAAGATCTGGAAGGCTGACACGGGATGTGATAACAACCATATTCTTTCACTTGCCGAGTGTGGCCTACTTGGACGCCAGAATGAATATTTGTCAAATAAACTAACATCGGCTTGCTGACAAGGAGCGGTGTAAATAATAACGATTCGTGGCTGGATGTCAAGGGGGTGATGTTGTAATAATGATAAGAAATACATGAGGGCTCATCGAGCAGTTACCACGTTTCTTTAATCTAAGGATGCCAGATGTTAGGCAGTGAAGCCCGGCGGAAGGTGGTTGTAGTAATTATGTCGTTATCCAAAGCATAACGTGTATAAAGACAGCGCTGGGTTGCAACGAAACCCCAGAGCTGACTTTAAACATAGTTTGATCGCTGTTACCTGTTGTGGTGGTGTGGAAGACGAATTAAAAAAACTTCACTAAAGCTACAGGAGTGAGTTGATATCTTCTCGTTCACCCCGTCCATCTCGGACGAACAGCTGACAATCCTCCTTCCTTTCCCACCCCACTGACCTGCTTTACAGCTCCGTTTTCCTGTGCAGGGCAACCAAAGAAGACCCAGCCGATCAGTTGTGGGTGTGGCTTGGTGGGCGTGGCTTGGTGGGCGTGGCAGGGGAATGTCACTGCAAAATCCCCCTTCCCTCCCCTCCACACTGACCTGCTTTCCAGCTCCATTCTCCTGTGCAGGGCAACCAAAGGAGACCCAGCCGATCAGCTGGGACTCAACGGGAGGCAGAGAAGAGAGAAGAGAATGGAGTTGGTGGGGCCAGTCGGCGGTGGGATTGGCCGGTTCCCTGAACTACTCCAAATTTCCGCTACCGGTTCTCCAGAACCGTTCAGAACCAGCTGCATCCCACCTCTGGCTCCACTTAATGATGGTACAGTTCTGTTACTCTAAATCTAATCAGCATACATTAAAATGAAATTGAATCAAATGAAACAGGTAGTTCTCCCTTTACGGCCATTCGTTTAGAGACATCACAAATATCATTGACTGGCGCTGATGGTTGATATGGGTTGCTGCCAGCCTCCTAGGTATCAACCAAGTCTTATTATTATCAGAGGTGGTATTCAGCCACTTCTGTCTGGTTCTGGAGAACCGGTAGGGGAAATTTGGAATAGAGTAGAGTAGAATAGAAAAGAGGAGAGGAGTGGAGAGGAGAGGAGAGAATAGATTAGAATAGGAGAGAATAGAGTAGAGTAGAGTAGAGTAGAGTAGAGTAGAGTAGAGTAGAGTAGAGTAGAGTAGAGTAGA